TTGTGACTAATCCGGGCCAGGGCACAGAGAAGCTGGACCTGCATTTCAACCCACCATTGTCTGCAACTCACTGGAGGGCAACAACTGGGGGCAGGAGCAATGGGAAGATCACTTGTGCTTCAGCCCAGGGTCAGAGGTCAAGGTGAGGTCACAGGGGAAAGGGGCCTGAGGACAGTGCCAAAGGGAGAGCCCAGATGGTAGGGAGCCCTGGGCTAGACCGTGCTTGAGCCACCGGGCCCCGCCTTGGCCCATCTCCAGGGTGCCTCCTGCCTCCCTGACACCTGTCCTCCCCTGCAGTTCACCGTGACCTTCGAGAGTGACAGATTCCAGGTGAGCTGCCAGACAGGCACCCGTTGGCCTTTCCCGACAGGCTGGGCCGCAGCCACCTGAGCTCCCTGCGTGCTGGGTGGGTTCATCTCCTCCTCCAAGCTTGGCTGAGTGGGCGGCGCTCACGGGAACGACAGAACCCTCGCCCCGACTTCCCATCCTGAGCTCCTTCCCAGTCACACGGGCCCAGCAGCCCCTGGGTCCTGGCTCCCCGCCTGCACTCCCTGCCCCTCTGGCCCCTCTCCTCCCCCAAGGCTAAGGCCAAATTAAGAATCCACCTTTGTCCAGCTGGTGTGGCTCAGTGGTATGAACCAGGCGGTCACTGGTTCAGGGCACATGCCCAGTTGCAGGCTCAATCCCCAGTAGGGTGTGTGCAAGAGGCAGCCAATTGGATGTTTCTCTCCCTTCCTCTCTCTAAAAGAAAACATAGAAAAAAAAGAGAATACCATATTGAAAAAAAGAATCCACCTTTCTCCAGTCTTTCTGTGGCAGAAACTGGTTAGTGTTCCCCATGCATTTTCATGATACAGAGGAGGAAACTGAGGCACAAGGGCATAGGACTGCCCCGCCGGAGTTGGGACACCCTTCCGAACACCTCTGAGCACCCACTCCCGCCTGCCTGCCCTGTTATCGCCAGGGCAAGTGCCAAGCTGCCCCGTGGGATTGGAGGCAGGGAGGGACCCAGGCACCTGGGCCAGGGGCTGTGCCCGGAACTGCAGATAAGGGCTCCCACCTGGGCCTCTTATCTCAGGAACATTCCTTCCAGGCTGGTTACTCATTACCCTCTCGGCCCCGGCGTGCGCTGGGGGCCCTGAGGGGTCCTTGGCTTCCAAACCCAATGCTGAGGGCATGGAAGCAGGTGGAGCCGACACCATACTCCCAGGTCCCCAAACATCCCGCAGGAACCGCGTCTCAAAAAGCCTTTTTAATCGGAATCCGGAGGCAGGTCTGGGGTGCACAAGAAGGTGAGGTCACACCTGATTTCACCTCGAGGCTTCTGGGACAAGGGAGGCTTGGGGTGGGCACGTTGGGGAAGCTCCAGGATGAGTGGGCAGGTGGCCCCTTTGGGAGGAGACAGAGGCCCTGTGTGGTATGCTCCCTACCCCCCACCAGCAAGGACAGCTTCCCCACACAAAGGCGGCTCTGTGAGGCCGGCCCTCCAGCCGGTGGGGGCGGGGCCGGAGGCAGGGCCACGGGGTCCAGAGCGGCACTGGGGGGAAGCAGGTCAGCCCGGCAGGGTCCTCGGGAACACCCAGCTCCCAGCACCAGCCTGGCCTCCCTCCCATGTCTGTCCAGCAGAGGCCTGGAGCGTTTGGGGGCCGTGTGGGTTCTCCATCCCTCATCAGCAGGACCCAGGTGTCAGGTGAGGGCGCGCTCTGCACCTGGGCTCTTCAGGGCAGTGAGTGGCCAGAGGCTGGGTGGGGTCCTGAGCCCACACTCAGCTGCTCACACCTTGACCTCATCGTCCTCCTCAGCGTCGGCGAACTCGAAAGTGTTGGCTTGCACCGTGCTGGGCACAGGGGCCCGGCTGCCGGCCTGGGGTGCCCCCCACTCTTCATCCAGGCTCTCCCCTCAGGTGAGGGCGCTCTGCACCTGGGCTCTTCAGGGCAGTGAGTGGCCAGAGGCTGGGTGGGGTCCTGAGCCCACACTCAGCTGCTCACACCTTGACCTCATCGTCCTCCTCAGCGTCGGCGAACTCGAAAATGTG